TAATAAAAAAACTTTGAACGTAGTGCTTCGTTAGTTTTTGTTTGAAATAGAAAAAAAAAAAAATTAATTACGACGTTGAAAAGTATTTAAATAAAAAGTTTTATTATTATTATTATCATTGCGTTCACGACGACGACGACGGTAGCGACGAGAAAACTAAAAAAAAAAGTATTAGAAAACGATAAAAATTGTTTTTTTTTTATTTGAAACGGAAATTAATTAATTGGATAAAATTTTTTTTTTTTGTTTGTTTTTGTTGTTCGTTTTGATAAGAAATTATTTTTAATTGATAAGAAGGTTTTTGATAATAATCGATAATTAAAAAAAAAATTTAAAAGGAATACACGTCAATTCCGATTTATAAAATACGGATTCTATTGTTTTTATATATATATATTTCTGTGCCAAAAATTAATTAATTAATTAACGTAGTCGTAGTAAATTTTCATAATTTTTCATCGGAAAATTGTTGTAGTGAAACGTTCGTTATAGCAGTGATAATATAAAACTAATGAGAAATTTTCATTTGCGAGCCGTCGTATAAAACGTTAACTGAATTTGATCGTTTTTGATTTATTGAAAGATTAATCGTCACCCTTAGAATAAGAATGTTTTGTACAAAATTCAATCAGTGATTGGTTAAAGGAAAAAATTTTTTTTTTTTTAAATTTATCCCTTTTCAATTTAATCATTATTATTATTTTTTTTAACCTGGGTAGGAATAAAAAAAAAATGATAATAATAATTGGGGAAAAAAACTTTGGAAATTTGAAATAATATTTACCGTGCCGATAAAACTCAAACTTTTATTATTATTATTAATAATAATAATTTAATATTATTATTAAAATTGAATAATTAAAAGGATGAAAAGTTTCCCTTTTTTTCCCTTTCAATGGTACCTTCCCCCTTCCCTCCATTTTTAATTTTATTTACTGAACACTTTAAATTTTTTATTTAAAAAGTTATTAAATAATAAAAAAGAAAAAGTTGGAAAATCCATTATTTGAATTTTTTTTTTTTTAAATTTAATTTTGATTGATTAACAGACGAATAGTTTTTCAAATTATTATTATTATTATTGTTCAGGACCGTAGGTAGAAATGAAAAATTTTATTTTAAAGTTAACAGTTTATAATTGATATTGAAAAATGTAAAAATTTACACATGAGGAAAAAACGGTTGAAATGCATGATGAAGGGTAAAGTTTAAAGTTCACGTTATATCACGACGTATCGTGATAATTAATGAGTGTTAAATTTTTTTATGAAATCCCGTTTCCCCGCCCCCCCGAAACCTCCTTTTCTCACTCGTAATATTATTATTATTATTTTTAATTTTAACGGTTTCATCCGGAAAACGTCAAAAATTTTTTTAGTTGTTTATGCTTAAATGATTGACGAACATGCAAAAGGAATCAAATGAAAAATTTCTTATTACGGTCGTTTGACGTCATTTCCTCCTTTTCTTCTAAAAACTCACACGCGCTCGCCCACACGCTCGCACACACCCAAACGTTTTCTTCTTACAGCTTTCAAATTTCTGATTTAAAATATTTCAAAAAAAATTTGAAAGGAGTTTGTTTCAGTTTTTTTTTTTTTTTTCATTAATAAAATGAATAATAAAATAATTCGTGACGTGAAATTGTATTTATATTATTATAATATAAACTTTGCGAGGTAAAATTGAAATAAATAAATGAAAACGTTTTCCAATTATTTAACTTTTGTAACCCCTTTTCACGCTTTTATTAATTATTTATTATTTATACGCAAACGAACATTTCGGTGTCGTAATAATAATAATAATCATTATTGTATTATTTTGTTTTGTCGGCTGCTCGTGTAAAAAAAAAAAAAAATAAAATCGTTTGATCTTGACAATAAAAAATATTTATTAAATAAAAAAAAAAAATATGTAGGCAAGGAATTGAATGAAATATCCTTGAAATGACACAAAACAAAAATGTTATTATTATTATTATTATTATTATTATTATTATTTTTATTTTTATTGACGTACATAAATGTATGTATTTATTTTTTTTTTATATTATAATATATATTTTTAAAATTTTTTAGTATAATAATATAATTAAGCGTCCTAATTTTAATTATTTATTTAAATAAAATATCAAATTATTCCTCTTATTTGTCGACCCGTTAAATTATTTTAAAAAAATTTAAACTCGTAAAGTTTTTTTTAATATAATTATATAATATATATTATAATATAATATAATATTAAAAAATGATTGAAACGAAAAATAAAATTTTTTTTCCTTTTTTAAATTGAAAATATTGAAGGGGAGGAAAAAACCAAAAATTTCAATTAAGTTTATTTAAATGTACAAAAATGTATTTATACTATAAATATAATATATATTATAAAGCGGACAAAATTAATATCTATTTAATATGTAAAATAAATTAAAATAATAATCATACTACTAAAATAACATACGCGAGTGCGCTCAAAAATTTTTTTTATATATATTATAAAAAATATTTATATTATAATTATATGCAATATACAGAGCGAATTAAAAAAAAAGTTTATATTATATTATATTATAATATATATTTATATATTATATATTTAATATATTTATATTATATATTAATATACATTATAATAATATTATATTATAGTAGGGATATAGTATACTAATATACTATATGTATACTAATATGATATTTAATATATACTGTATATTATATACTATTTATATATATAGTATATATATTATAGTATAATTTTAATATAATTATTGATAATATACTTCCTCACGCAAACTCTTAAACGTTTCAATATACAAACAAACCAACAAAAAAAATTATATAAAACAATAATAATAACAATAATGAAAACTTGATACTTTTTTATAATATAAAAAAGGGTAAAATGTAGAACAAAATGATAACAATAATAATAATAATAATAATAATAATATTAATAATAATATAAATCAAATAATTTAATTTTTTTTTTATAACAAGGGCAATATATTATATTTTATAATATATTTAATATTAGACCACTCGGGGTTCATAATTAAAAAAAAAAAAACGAAAAATTTATTATAACTACTATCGTCTGTATTATATTATTATTATTATTATCATCATCATCATCGTTACTATATATATATATATTATTAGTGTTATTATTATTATTATTATCGACGACGTTATTTATTATTAAAAAAAAATATCGAGAAAAAAATAATAAATAAATCTGAAAAAGATTTTATTACTTTTCTATCGGGTAATAATTTTTGTTATGTTTTAAAAACGTTTAAAAATTATTATTATTATTATTATTATTATTATTATTATTATTATTATTATTATTGTTTTTTTTTACGTTGTAGTGAGGTTGTCTAATAAAGACGCTACTATTTTACAACGTTTTGTAACTTTATAGGATCGTAAATGGATGATGATTTAATGACGTCATTAATTAATAAAAAAAAAATTTTAGGAATGGAAGAAGTTTAGGATTGTAGTTAGTAACATTGTAGTGTGTAATAATTTAGTAGAAAAAAATTACAATTATATTGCACAGTATAAAAAAGTATAAAAAAAATTAATTAATAAAAAACAAAACACTTAAACTATTTACACGACCGTATACTTTTTCGTGGTTTTAGTCTTTGAATCGATCACAAATATCATTTTAGTATCCCCATCTAATTTTTTCGGAAGAGGCATGCGTAAAAGACGATGGATACTTTTATCGACGAGTGGACCACAACCTGCTTTTCTCGTGTCGATCATGTGAATTTTAAGCAAGTTAGGAGAACATCCTCCGAGAAAAGGAAGGTTGAGGTCATCCTCGGGTCATACGACGTAAATTTGTATGGCCGGTGCTTTGGGTTTTGTGTGAGGTGATGGAGGAACGATTGGATTTTCCTCTTGGAATTTTTCACCCGGTTGTAATAATTGATAAAATCTCATTTCTTTTTTTCTACTTATTGGCGCGTAATATTTTTTAAACGGTTTTGAAATATATTTAACCGCCGGATATTTATCGATAAATGTTTCTTCTGGTACATCGTAATAAATGTAATTTGATTTTATCGGTTTGTATCTGGTTTGGTGCATCGTTCTCGTGCAAATCGGATCAAATGAATTGTATTCGATAAATTCATCATCGTAATTATAGTTGCCTGATACATCTGAATACGCCTGAAATAATAATAAAAACGTGGAAGTTATAATGACTTACGTAATCAAAAATTACGTCAAAAATTTTAATTTTTTGAATAATATTTTAACCTAATAAAAATAGTATTAATATAAATATACGATTAATAGTATTAATATAATAATACACACGACGAATAATCATATCGAAAAAAAAATTTTTTTCTTGTATCTATTTTTTCTCTCCGATATAAATACAAAAGAATTCTTTCTTATTATTATTATTATTATTTTTTGCTTTTAATAACATTATCTTATTTTGATATATTTAATATTATCTGTTGTTTCTAGCTCACTACTCGCAAAAACTTTTTTTTTCTCAATCGCACATATAAAAAAAAAGAGGTTCGTGAAAAAAAAAAATTTGGCGGATTTTCGATAAAGATAAATCAATAATTTTTAATGATATCATTATTATTATTTGCGTCTATGATAAAACGTTAAATTATAGTTTTTTTTTCGTTTGTTGTTGTTATTTCTTCTTGTTTTGCGATAAAAACTTTTAAAAATAAAAATAATAAATGTTGAAATGTTTAAAACGATTTTTTTATTTTTCTTACCGTTTTTTGTCCGGCAGCAAATGAATTACAATTGATAATAGCAAAAATTATAAATAGAAAATAACACATTAAATATTCCATATTTGTAACTAATTAAATAATTTTATTCATTTGCTCGGGCATTTATATGATATTTAGCCTGTAATTCATGATCATTGATCACTCGATAGTTTTTTTTTTTTAAATAACATTGTAGTTACCATGTTTAAATTAATTGCAAGGATTATTTCTTTATTATTATTATTATTAAATGACGTATTGGATTATTGAGATTGAATGAATTATTATTATTGACCTTATTAAAAATGAATGTAAGGTTTAATTCATAAGCTAAATATTAATTAATTAATTACATTACATTAAATTGAAAAAAAAAAGATGGCGATTTTTTTCAATGTGAGACAATATTGTTGACACGATCGTTTTTTATGAAAGTTATGAAAAGAAAAAAAATTTTTTATGTTTAAAATGCAAAAAAAGCAGACGATTGAATTAATGAAGTGTTTTTAAATCACTACAAATCATTATTACGATCAAGTCGAAGTTAATAAAAAAAAAAAATTTAATTTTTTCTTTAACGTAATAACTAACCTTTGTACGTTTTTATTAAAACTCAAGAATAAATTATTGATTTATCGATCGATCGTTTGTTTGTTTGTTTGACCTAAACAAACGGGAAAACAAATCGTCGAACAAAATTATTATTATTATTATTATTATTTTTAATTTAAAATTTTAAAAGAAAAAAAATGTTTGTTTTTGTGGTGCGGCGGCCGAAATAAAAAAAAAAAGAAAACAATTTTTTTATTTAATTGTTTGTCGGCTTGTTTAGAACACGAAAAAAACAACAAACGGGAAAAAAATTTAATATAATAAACAATCGAATAAGAAAATTAAAAAAAAAAAAAATTTAACGATAAATATTTGATTAAAAAAAATTAATTTGGAATTTAAGAAAAAAAAAAAAAGATAGCGATTTAAACAAACGAACAACCCGAAATCAAAAGTTCAAAGTATTATTATTTATGATTAATAATTAACTAATAACTATAATTAATGAATTCGATCGTTTTATTGTCGCGTAATGTCTAAAAAAAAAAAAATTAGGATTATCGTTAAGTACGAGTATGTAAGTAATAACCGAGGTAATTAATTATTGTGTTAAAACGAAAAAGAAATTGATTGATAGTAGTAATAATAATAACGTTTATTTAAGAATATTTCATATATTGACTCCCTCGAAAAAAAACACACACACAATTGTTTAAAAATTCCTGAGAAGGGCAATCTTGGACGTGGTTTTATTAAAAATTTTTTTAATTTTTTTTAAAAACAAAACAATCAAATCAGAGGGTACCAGTTGAAAAAAACAAAATCAACGAGTTTTTATTTATATATTAAATATCACGTACGTATCGGAATAATGAAAGATGATTCATTGTCGTACCTGGTCAACCCAATATAGTCATGCATGGAACCTTAAAATTAACATTTACAATTCGGTTAATCTACGCGACGCATGACTTTACACTAGTTTCATCCAACTAGAGCAGCCTAAAATTAAAAATCGTGTAATCACATTCGTATTAAAAAAAAAAAAAAAAAAGATTTTACGGTAAAGGACAAATTAAGCACTTTTTTTTATATATAACCGTTGGAACGTGTGAAAAAAACAAAACCAAGGTCAGGTAATATTGAACTTTCGTGTGATGAGAATTAAAAAAAAAATTTAAAGATCTTTAAAAACCTCTAACAAGTTATATTTAATCGTTTCTTGTGGGCGTTTAGCCGTCATTAGAGTTGTGCCGTACTGTAGGTGTCATGGGTAATGTGCCGTTCTGGACGAACGTTGTTGTTTCCCTCTTATACCTGAGTGGAATAACAAACGGTCAACATTATTATCATGAAAATCCTTCGGTGAGTTTATTTTTTTTCTTTTTTTTTCAATTCTTATCTAAATATAAATTATTGTTAATTAATTAATTAATTAATAGGTTCCATTTCCCTTCCCTCGACCATTTTAGTAGTGAATTATTATTATTATTATTATTTATTAATTTTTTTTTTCGTACGTTCGGTAAAAAGATTTTTTAGAAAAAAAAAAAAAGTTAGAAAATGTCATGTAAATACATTTGTGACTTTTTCAGCATGGATTTAAAACTTTTACCCCCCAAGTAAATATAAAAAATTTTTTTGGAACCAAATATTTTCATAAATTTTCGGACAATAATGGTCCATCACCTTCTTCATTCAATTCATTTGAGCAGCCGATGCCTGTACCTCTTCCGCCGCCGCCGCAGTCCAATATGCCGCCTCCTCCACCCATGGGATCGCCTTTAGGACCACCATCCTTACCTCCCATGCCACCGCAATTGTCGTCGCCGCTACCACCGCTACCGCCGCCACCACCACCTCCTCCTCCGTCTTATCCAAGAGGAATGTATCCTTATGAATACCATAGTTCTAGAATGCCACTACAGCAGCAACCGCCTCTTCCTCCGTCACCCATGTCAAGGGAGTATCCAGGTCACCATGAAGGTATGTATAATGAACCCATGCCTCCAAATCATTGTCCATCTTGCGCGGAATGTGAAGGGAACGAAGAAGATTATTATGGAGAAAATGACGATCATTGCGATGGAGGTTGTCCGTGTGCCGGACCTTACGGAAGATATAATAATTATTCCAATGGAGAAAGTAATAGACCGTGTAATTGTGAAGGGGGTTGTCCGTGTGACTGTGAGGGAGGTTGCCCGTGTGAATGTGACGGTGGTTGTCCCTGTGATTGTGAAAGAGGATGTCCGTGCGCTTGCGAAGGTGGTTGCCCTTGTGACGGAGGTTGTCCGTGTGCATGTAATGGAGGTTGTCCCTGCGCTTGCGGAGATCACGATTATATGGATAAGGGCTACCAAGATAAACAAAACTACCAAGATGGTGGACACTGTCCTTACTGCAGAGGAGAAGGTTGTCCCGAATGTAGAGGAGATCGCGGATACGGTTATCACGAACCTCCTCCACCGCCACAACCACCCATTAGAAATTCCCCAGCATTCCACAGATACTCGCCCATGAATCAAATGAACCCCGATGAAATGGACTATTCTCAAAATCCAAACTTACAACCTCACACCGAAATTTACCCCTTGCCACCCTCTTATAATCCCATGATTCCACCGCAACCCCTTCCACCTTCCAGACAACTACCAAATCAAGATTACATGCCAATGCCTCCCGGTGATACCGGAGGTTACACAGAAATTCAAGAACTTCCACCCGTAATGTTACCACCAAAAGTATCCATGGACATGCCCCCACCTCATTATTCACCTCCATTAAGAGGTGTTCCACCTCCACCACCACCACCAATGCCACCCCGCATGTCCATGCCCGAAACATTTCATCCCACACCACTGCCAGGTTACACGGATGTTTCAATGCCACCCTTGCTTCCCCCAATGCGTTCCATGCATAGAATGCCCAACAGATTTCCACCGAATCGATTCATGCCCCCAGAGGATAATTATATGCCCCTTCCTCCTCACATGCATTCCAACTCTCAACCGATATATCAAGAAATTCCA